TGACAATCATGTGCCAACATTGGTTCATTAATTATAACAAATATACCCTATTAATAAAAGATGTACGCCCCGCCAGTGTGGTTAAGCAGATTGAGTGTCAACCCATGGACTGAGAGGTCCCAGTTCGATTCCCAGTCAGGGCATATGTGGGGGTTGAGGGATCGATCCCCAGTAGGGGATGTGCAGAAGGCAGCTGACTGATGTTTCTCACATCAATACTTCTATCTCTCCATTCCTCTCTCTCTAAACAATGTCAACGAGGAAAAAATTTTTTTAATAAATTTTAAGAAACACCAAAAAATAAAAAAGACAGTGATGAACTGGAAACAAAACTTTGAAACATCTGTGAGAATGAATTAATGTAGTTAATATATAATAAATTTCTATATATCTGTAAGGGAAAAAATACTTCAGTGGGGAAAAGGTCCAAGAATACAAAAAGGCATTTCACAAAACATGGACTGCATAAGCCTAATAAACTTAAAAATAGTGTAGCCTCATTAGTGGTAAAATGAAAGGCAGATTGAAATAAGTCACCATTTTTCACCTTTCATCAGCAAAGTTTTTTTTTTTCAATGACAAAGCTAATGGTTAGAAATAGAAAAAATAGGAGATTCCAAAGTGCTGGCAGAGTGAATGGAAGCTACACAGACCATCTCCCAAAACCAAACTAGAATTACAACTAAAATAAAGACAAATCCTCAGGAAAAAGCAACAGAAAAGCAGCTTTTGAGGACCATATAACCAGGGACACTGATTCAATCCTGGTAGGATTGCGGAGGCATGAGACGGGGGAGCCCACAGACAGCAGTGGTCTTAGCTGTGAGCAGCGCCCTCAGGGTGAAAATCCCAAGCCCGCTCCACAGTGCAGAGGGCCGGGACAGAGCACTAAAATAGCCACAGCCACTCACCTTGGGCTTCAGCAGAGGGAAGGCAGACAGGACTGGAACTGTGTGGGGACACTCGGGATTTAGAGGGTGCTCAGAGCTCTTTCTGAGTTGTGGCCACGCAGGATGGTGGTCATCTTACTCCTTCCCAGGGCTCTGAGGAGAGGAGGCCTCTCCCTCAGAGATTCAACCCTACACAGGTGGGCCACTGAAATGCAAATTGAGGCTCATTAACAACTAGCATCTGCCCCACCCTCGGGAAATCCTCTTATGTGGAACACCTGACGAAGTTTTTCATTCAACTGAGAAGCCAAGGCTCTTCAAGTAACTGCAACTAATAGCCTCCAGGCAAAAAGCTAGAGGATAACTGAACCTGGAAGAGATAGAATACTTGAACAGACCAATAACAACTAAAGAAATTGAAGAGGTAATCAAGACTCTCCCAGCAAACAAAAGCCCAGGCCTGGACAGCCTCATGGGGAAATTTTACTAAACATTCAAAGAACGAATACCCATTCTCCTCAAACTATTTCAAAAAATTCAAGAAGAAGGAAGACTTCCAAACTCGTTTTATGAAGCCAGCATAATTCTAATTCCAAAACCAGAAAAAGACACTACAAAGAAAGAAAACTACAGGCCAATATCCCTGGTGAACATAGATGCCAAAATCCTGAACAAAATACTAGCAAATCGAATCCAGCAATACATCAAAAAACATTACTCATCATGACCAAGTGGGCTTCATCCCAGGGATGCAAGGCTGGTACAATGTTCACAAATCAATAAATGTGATACACCACATAAACAAAATGAAAGATAAAAATCATATGATCATATCAATAGACGCTGAAAAAGCATTCGACAAAATCCAATACCCATTTCTGATAAAAATGCTCAGCAATCTGGGAATAAAAGGATCATATATTGACATAATAAAGGCCATATATGAAAGACCTACAGCCAACATCATACTCAATGGGCAAAAACTAAAAGCATTTCCCTTAAGAACAGAAACAAGACAAGCATGCCCACTTTCACCACTCTTATTTAACATAGTACTGGAAGTCTTAGCCACAGCAATCAGACAGGAAGAAAAAATAAAAGGGATCCAAATTGGAAAGGAGGAAGTGAAACTGTCATTATTCGCAGATGACATGATACTACACGTAGAAAACCCCGAAGACTCCGTCAAAACTTTACTAGACTGAATAAATGAATTTGGCAAAGTAGCAGGATATAAAATTAATGTCAAGAAATCAATGGCATTCTTATACACCAATGATGAAGTCACAGAAAGAGAAACTAAAAAAACAATCCCATTTACCATCGCAGCAAAAAAATTAAGATACCTAGGAATAAACTAAACCAAAGAAATAAAGGACCTATTTGCAGAAAACTACAGGTCATTGAAAAAAGAAATGGAGGAAGATATAAAAAAGTGGAAGCACATACCTTGTTCATGAATTGGAAGCATTAACATCATTAAAATGTCCATACTACCCAAAGCAATCTATAGATTCAATGCAATCCCCATCAAAATACCAACAACATACTTCACAGAATTAGAGAACAAATATTTCAAAAGTTCATATGGAACCAAAAAAGACCCCGAATAGCCACAGCAATCTTGAAAAAGAACAAAGTTGGAAGGATCACATTACCAGATTTCAGGTTATACTACAAAGCCACTGTAATCAAAACAGCCTGGTACTGGTACAAGAACAGGCAGATAGAACAGAACAGAGAACCCAGAAATGGACCCAAGGCAATATGCTCAATTAATATTTGCCAAAGGGGGCAAGAGCATACAGTGGAGTCAAGACAGCCTCTTCAATAAATGATGTTGGGAAAATTGGACAGCTACATGCAAAAACATGAAACTAGACCATCAATTTATACCATACACAAGAATAAACTAAAAATGGATAAAAGACTTAAATGTGACTCATGAATCCATAAAAATCCTAGAAGAAAATGTAGGCAACAAAATTTCGGACTTCATACGTAGCAGAATTTTACTGATTCATCACCTAAGGCAATAGACACAAAGGAGAAAATTAACAGATGGGACTACATCAAACTAAAAAGCTTCTGCACAGCAAAAGAAACAACCATCAAAATGGAAAGGGAACCCACTGTATGGGAGAGCATAATTGTCAACTATACATCAGATAAGGGGTTAATTTCCAAAATACATAGAGTACTCATAACAACTCAACAAAAGGAAGACAAAGACCCAATTAAAAAATGGGCAGAGGAACTAAATAGACACCTCTCCAAACAGGACATACAAATGGCTAAGAGACATATGAAGAAATGCTCAACATCACTAATCATCAGAGAGATGCAGATTAAAACAATCATGAGGTATCACCTCACACCTGTCAGAATGGCCGCCATCAACAAATCATCAAACAACAAGTGTTGGCAAGGGTGTGAAGAAAAGGGGACTCTAATACACTGCTGGTGGTAATGCAGACTGGTGCAGCCACTGTGGAAAACAATATGGTGTTACCTCAAAAATTAAAAATTGATCAGCCATTTGACCCGTGATCCCACTTCTAGGAATATACCCTAAGAAGCCTGAAGCACCAATCAGGAAGAATATATGTACCCCCATGTTCATAGCAGCACTATTTACAATAGCTAAGATCTGGAAGCAGCCCAAGTGTCCATCAATAGCCGAATGGATAAAAAAAGCAGTGGTACATATACACAATGGAGTACTATGCAGCTGTAAGAAAGAAAGATCTCTTATCCTTTGAGACGACATGGAGGGATCTGGAGAGTATTATCGTAAGCGAAACAAGCCAATCAGAGAAAGACAAATACCACATGATCTCACTCATTTGTGGAATATAATCAATATAACAGTCTGAGGAAAAGGGTAGACCCAGAGACGTAGAAGTAGGGTACAGACTGACAACCCTCAGAAGAGGAGGGGGGAGAGATAAACCACAGAACTTATATGCATGTACGCATAACCGATGGACATGGACAGCAAAGCTGGGGATGTGGTGGGGGAATGGGGAGGAGGGTGTCAGTGCGGAAAAAAGGAGAAACATCTGTAATTAAAATAAATTTTAAAAACAAGAAATAGAAAAAATAGATCCTCCCACATACTTTTGGGTGCAGTGTAAACTGATACAATATTTTTGGAGGGCAACCTAATAGTCTCAATTGCCAAAAGAAATGTGTAGTTTCTCCCCTGGCGAGTTTTGTTCAGTGGTTAGAGCATTGGCCCACAGACCCAAGACCATTGAGTTTGAGTCCAGGCATGTACCTGGATTGCAGGTTTAATCCCTGGAGGGGTAGGCAACCAATGGATGTGTTTCTCTCTCTCTCTCTCTCTCTCTCTCTCTCTCTCTCTCTCTCCCTCCCTCCCTCCCTCCCCTCCCTTTCTTCCACTCTATCTAAAAATCAATGGAAAATATCAATATCCTCTGGTGAGGATTAACAAAAAAATAAAAAAAGAAATGTGTAATTTCTGACTCCGCAATTCGACTTTTTAAAAATTCTGTTGAAGAATATTAAGCATCCTGGGGGAATCTAAATAACCGATCAAATAAAATCAGGACTTTGCAAAGGAGTGTGCACAGAGTGAGGGCATCTTGGGGTAAGAGGTTTACACATTCAGAGTCACAGAGACCGGGTGGCTTTGGCAAGACATACTGGAAGGAAATGCGCATGCGCCTAAATGGAAGGCCGTGAAATTAAGTATTGTTTTTCTTTCTTTCCTTTTCTTTTCTTTTTTTTTTTTTTTTAATATATTTTTATTGATTTCAGAAAGAGGAAGGGAGAGGGAGAAATAGAAACATCGATGAGAGAGAAACAGCTCTGTAGGTTTTTTTGTTTGTTTTTTGTTTTATTTTTTTTCCAGCCAATGATTGGTCTGTTCGGGGCAGGCTGGGGTGGACACTACTTGCAACCGGGGGCTTCTCGGGGGCTTTAGGCTCTTGGCGCGTCTGGAGAGCCATCAAGCAAGAGAGAGACCCACCCAAGGGAAACCGCCCGTGGGCAGGACAGCCAGCAGGGGAGTAGGCAGACTAGCGAGTGGGGTGCAGGGTGGGCGCAGGAGAGCAAAGGCCGCGAGTGGGGCGCGCAGGGGCGCCAGCGAGCGAGGACCCGCAGGCGGGCGGGAGGCGGGTTCCTGCGCTTTGAGGAGCGTGAGCAGCTGCGGGCCCGGCGGTGTCCCCATTGGTTCGTCTGGGAAGTAACATCCCACAGAGCAGAGTCATTTCCTGAGCTGAGCAGGGACCTGGAGGCTCTCATCATGATGAGTGAGTGAATCTTGCTTTCGCACGGGGGGGGGGGGGGGGGCAGCCTGGGCGGGGGGCTGGTCTCCCCAGCTCCACCCCACAAAGGGCCAGAGGAGTCGCTACTTGTCATCACTCCCTCCAACAACTAACTGTCGTCCCTCTCCCCCTATTTTGTGTCCCTAGAGAAAGTAGCCGCTGCTGCAATCGGAGGGGGTGAGTTTCCTGGACCCCCTCCATCGCCAGTCCTCCACGGGGCCCTCATCTTGGGATGGGTGGGAGACCTCACCCGCCGGCACTGCAGGGCTCTGAGGGCTGGCTCTCCAACCCCCATCCTCCTCCCCGAGCGGCCTGAGTCAATCTTAGGAGCAGAGAGCAATACTCTCGCGGAAAGGACCGCCTGCATCCCGGACCGAGCTGCCCCTCGAGCGCTTATATATAATGAGCATGCAAACCAGAGAGCATTTGCAAGGGAGGCTGCTGCTGAAAACAGCAATGGTTTATTTCACCCCCACATTTACACACACACAAACCGGAGGCCCAGTGAGGGATAGTGACTTCCTCAGTGTGACACAGCAAGTTAGAGACCCAACGGGGCCTGTGCCTAGACCTCCTGTGACATCTCTGCCCCTACCTGGCCCCACCGCCCCCACCTTTTTCTTTACCTTGGCACCCCTCTCCAAGCTGCCGCTCCCTTATGCTCAGAGCAGACACTGTCAAGGAATTCCCAAGGGGGTGCACTGCCCTGAGCCCACGTCTCCGACCCAGCTCCTCTTCCCGCAGTGCTGGCCGTGGGAGCTGTGCCCGTGGTGCTGGGCGCCGTGGGCTTCACCAGCACAGGGATCGCGGCCTCCTCCCTAGCGGCCAAGATGATGTCCGCCGCCGCCGTCGCCAACGGGGGCGGGGTTCCCGCCGGCGGCCTGGTGGCTACTCTACAATCTGTGGGTAAGTGTCCTGAGCAGGAGGAGGAGGGGGAGGATCTGACCTGGAGGGGATTCAGCCCAGAGGCTAAGCCTGAGGGGAGGGCCTGTCCTCTCCCTCCAATTCCGTGATCCTGGTTTTGTCTCTCCCTCACTGTTCTCTTTCTGGCTCCTGAGTGAGGTTTGGGGGGTGGGGGGGTTCTGGGAGAGAGAAGAAGGGAAGGAGCCCAGGCTGAGTGATGTCTGGGCTATGGGTCCAGCTCTACACAAATCTGACACCTAGGCCCAGGTGCATCCCCTCACTCTCTGGCTTCAGCGGCCTCCTATGTAAAGTGAGGGGACCTGTGGCTGACTCTCCTCTGTCTCCCACTTCTCATAAATTCACCCTGTCTTCTCTCTGTCTCTGCTGCCTCCAACATCCTCTACCCAAAGCAGAGCCCTGCAGATTTAAGGACCTAGAGGAGGGAACCAGGTGGGAGCTCTGGGCCTCAGACCTCCTGAGGGTCCCCGGCCACTGGCCACTGCATGTTCCCTGTGCTCACCCTCTCTTCTCCTCCAGGGGCAGCTGGACTCTCCGCGTCATCCAACATCCTCCTGGCCTCCACTGGGTCAGTTTTTGGAGCCTTGCTGGGACGTTCAAAAAAGGCACCTCCTCTCTCTCCCCCAGCTGGACCTGGGGCTGAAGGGAACCAGCCAGGAGAAAATGTATCCCAAATAAAACCTCCAAAACCCCCACTCAAATCAGAGAAGCATCAGAAATAAAGATCACGTGCAGTGCACCTCCCTGTCTTCGTTCCTTGCAGCCCTGGTTGGGATGTTGTGAGTGAAAGGTTTCTGGTTCTCCCTATTCTCTGGACCTGCCTTATGGGGGGTGGGAGGAGCAGGCTGTTCAGCACAGAATCAGTTGGCAGGAGGCTTTGGTTGGTCCTAGTCTTACAAGGGATGGGCTGTATAACCCAGGGCCACTCATGGGCCTTCTATGGGCCTCAGTTTACCCCTCATTCAATGGTGGGGTTGATAAAGGTTCCTGTTGGGAGGCTAGGGTGAGGAGTAGCCAGGATGCATATTGAGCCACTGACGCCCAGAGCCCTTTGCCCTTCCTCCTGCATGGGCACTTCCTCTAGACATCCAGAGATGAGAGACACCGGCTTTCCCTGTCTGATCTCAAAATCCCTGTGGGGAGGCTGGTAAGCAAACCGCCAGGACAATGCAAGATACCAAATATTACATGGGCTCTGGCACTTTGGGGGGAGGAGACTGAATCTAATGTCACTTCACTGTGTCTGGAAAATTAAACAGGAACTGACATTCCCCAGCTCCTACCCTGGCAACAAGGGCTTTGGGGTGTCACTGAGTCTCCATTCAGCTGCAGGATGAGGAGGTCTTATTTCCTGCCAGAGAGGTGCCATTCTCCAGAGCTTTTTATTGTTATTTTTTAAAGATGAAATGTAAAATAAATAAAAATAGGAGTCCCAAGACTTCTACTTACACCCCGGTAGATGGTCTTAAGGAGGCCTCCAGAGTGCACGCACTGCATTTTATTTATTTTATTTTTTTATCCTCACCCGAGGACATTTTTTCCATTTTTTGTTCAAATAGAGGTAGAGAGAGAGAGAGACATCGACATGAAAAGGACACATCGAGTGGCTGCCACCCGCACGACCCAACCAGGGCTGGGGACAAACCGCAACCGAGACACGTGCCCTTAGCGGGAACCGAACCCGGGTCTCTCTGGACCACAGGCTGACGCTCTTACCACTGAGCCAAACCGGCCAGGGCCGCACTGCATTTTATAGACCACTCAACGGCCATAGCAAGAAGGAAGGGCTGCGTGGAGTGGAGAAAGCTGGAGAGAGTCACTCCCACCTGCAGCGAGGAAAAGCCAGACCCACACAATCATAACTTTTCTTCAACCCCTAAGAGAGTTGATGTGGCCCTGGCCAGTTTGGCTCAGCGGTTAGAACGTCGGCCTGCGGTCCAGAGAGACCCGGGTTCGGTTCCCCCTAAGGGCACGTACCTCAGTTGGGTTTGTCCCCAGCCCTGGTTGGGTGGTGTGGGTGGCAGCCACTCGATGTGTCCCTTTCACGTCGATGTTTCTCTTTCTCTCTTCCTCTCTCTCCCTCTCACTCTATCTGAACCAAAAATGAAAAAATGTCCTTGGCCGAGGATAAAAAAAAAAAAAAGAGTTGAAGTGGCGATCTACGGCCATACCACTCTGAAGGAGCCCGATCTTGTCTGATCTCTAAGCACTGTGGGGCCTGGTTAACACTTGGTTGGGAGAGTTGAAGCGGCAGGGCCACCAGAGGGCCACTGCTGCCCATGGTACAAACTCGTTCATTAATGGGCCCTTTCTTGGCTGCTGTCTTTCCCTGTCTCACCTTCCATTTCCTGGGTCATGCTCCCTGGAGTCACTCCATAATAAATCACTTGCACTCAAATCCTTGTTTCAGGGTCTCAGCCTAAGGTGGCTTCCAGCCCACTCAGGAGCCCACGGGGCTGAGCCCAAGACAGCCACGGCACTGAATCAGATTGTCCCTGAAATCTGGCTGAGTCCAGGCCTGACCCATCTCTTCCCCTTAGAATGAGGCTCAGGCAGGAGATTCTACAGTCTGTCTCATATTGACCCACCAGGTCAGGACCTCCAGACAGGCCCAGTTCTGTCAGAATCCTGGCAGAGAACATAGTTCAACTTGGGGTCTGGCCTCCAGGCCAGGCTACCCTGGACAATGCCACATGCCGAAAGCCACAGGGTAAATCACTCAAACCAGTGGACCATTCCTAAGTCTTTGCAACTTGTCAGGGAAAACATTGTACAATTTCAATTTTCAAAATGTTCCTTCTCAGTTACCTTTCCCCCTGTTACCAAACATACTGAAGAGAATCTGGCTGGCGCCGGCCTGAAGGTGGTTGACACCGACGAACCACTGTACCCGCCCTGTCCCCCTGACTCTCCATTAATTTTAAATTGTCTGAGTCATGATGAAAACAATGTTATCTCCCTGAACACAGGCAGGATGTTGGAGGAAGCATCTGGGAGGGAGCTGGTGGGCATGGAGCCAATTAAGTCTCCAAATCTGGAAAGAAGCCACCAAGTGGACCGTTTTCAGTAGCAGCAGGAGTTAGAGACTTTGGGTCATAGGTTCTTTTAACAACATCTATCACATGGGCAGCATCCCCTTTCTTGGAATGGTGTGCGGATTTTCAGTGACGAGTCATGGGCAGTGCCTTGACTACAGTAAATATCTTTTTAATGTTGTTTTGATCCTCTGTTTCAGTGTTTTAGAGTTGCTCTGTGGGTAGTCAGGGTGCCCCAGAAGTTGCTGCGGGACCCAGGAGGACGAGACAGGGCTCCTAGGAAACAGAAGCTCCTTCCTCCCTCCCCTAGTCCAGAGGCTATGAAATTCATGACACCTCCATCCACATCCCTTCTGGGCCCACTCCACTCCCCTCAGCTCCGGACCCCTTTCTGTACCCACTGTTCCCACAATCACAGACCAGCACTGTGGCTCCCACCTCGGGTCCCTCTCAGAGGGTGAGTACACAGGGCTGGGGTTGCAGGAGAGAGAGGGCTAGAGACCTGAGGGGCAGAGCGCTTCCCAGACCTGAGGATCTGAGTCTTTGTAGATGTCTGATGACAGGCTCTGCCACCAGAGTGGCTCTTGTCAACTGCAAGACCCTACTGTGATCTCCCTGAGCCTTCGATGGGCACTCTCCTCCCCAGGTGTCAGAATGTGACCAGTTCTTTTCTTGGGCTGGTAAGATTCCCCAGAAGAACCTTCCTCCCTCTATTCTGAATGTTGTAACCTGGCTGCCAGCATCCTGGGTGCCTATCGATGGAGTCGATTGAGGGCCTCCATACTTGTATGGAAACTCTCATTTTTAATACAAAGCTCCTGGTACCTCCTGGCACAGAGACCCAACCTCACCAAAATTAAACCTCCAGTCGTCTGCTGGAGGGAGTACTTGGGGATCTGCCTGCTTCCTATGGAGACTTCCAACCAGACCTCTCACTGCCAATCTCCTCAATGCCAACCCCCAGAAGGACTTGCGCCTCCAGTGGCTGAGCCTTCGGGGGTCCTACGGGGCACAGTCTTCCCTTTCTCCCCTTCTTCACTGATAACTGAAGCTGCAGCTTTCCTGGGACTGCCTGATAGAACCCCATATCCATGTGATTCCCGACTCCTAAGTTGTATTTCGGTCATCTTCTCTCCCCTTCTCTTTGCCCATGTGGGTTTAAGCCTTGCTTTAGTCCTTTATTGTTGTTTTAGTGATGTATTGAGAAGGAAGAGGTAAATCCTTTTTGTCGGGTTGGTTTTTTTGTTGCTTTGCAATGGAAAGATTCTCTACCGTGTTCATTAGAATGGATGTTTGCTGGCTGTCCAAGAAGCTCTCTTGGCTGAAACAAGGGAAGTTTCTTTCTCTATTACTTGATCATACAAAAATCTCAGCCAAGACTGCTCTGGGAGACCCAAGCTCCTGCAGTCTTGTTGCTCTGCCTTCCTTATGGTGCTGCTCTCATCTGTGTGGTGGACGATGGTCACTCTTCTGCCTGCAGCAGAGCCACCAGGAAGGGGCCAAGGAGCAAAGACGGGCCCACCCACTCCCATTAGGGTTGTAAACTTTGTTTATGCTCACCTCTCACTGACCAGAAAAACCCAGTCCCGTGAGCACACCTAGCTGCGAGAGGGGCTGGAATGCAGTCCTTCACTGGAGAGATGCACCTGGCCCAAAATCAGGGCTCTCTTCATATGAGCCAGAAGGGAAGCGTAGACATGGGGTGACTACTAACAGCCTCTGCCACACTGATGAAGACAGTGGTCTGCAGTTAGCCATCCTAGACGCCACAATGAGAACTCGCCTCTGCCTCTCTGCTCTCCCCTGCAGCGCGCTGGGCCACTGTGTGCCAGAACCTGCTCAGCAGTGAATGTGCCTGGTTTCCCGGACACTGGGGGCTCCTGAGGACAGGCAGCAATCCTGGAATTCCAAAGGGGCAGGACCTGGAGTCCTGGAGTCCTGGAGGTCAACTGAAGCCAGGAATTTCAGGAATCCTGGGGCTACTGGAGCATGCTCAGCCAGATCCCAGTGAACTACCCTCAGGCTGATAAAAAGACAGAAGTACAAGTGGGCTTCACTGAGTTATCTGTTTAGGGGCAAAATTATGGTTTCAGCCATGCTGGGCTCTCATTAGGAGGCTGTGGTAAGATTTGTCAAGTCCCCCTCTTGCTTCAAACTCTGACTTCCTCTTCTGGGATGAGCAGGGCACATGCTCTGCTTTTAACTTAAAAATTTTTTTTCTTCTTTATTTTTTATTTTTATCCTCACCCGAGCACATTTTTCCATTTTTTGTTCAGATAGAGAGGGAGGGAGAGAGAGGAAGAGAGAGAGAAACATCGACGTGAAAGGGACACATCAAGTGGCTGCCTCCTGCATGACCCAACCAGGGTGGGGGACAAACTGCCACTGAGGAACACGCCCTTAGCGGGAACCGAACCCGGGTCTCTCTGGTCCGAAGGCCCATGCTCTCACCGCTGAGCCAAACCGGCCAGGGCTTTATTGATTTTTTAGAGCGAGGGGGAGGGAGAGGGAGAGAGAGAAACATTAATGAGAGAGAACATAGATTGGCTGTCCTGACATAGATTGGCTGTCCTGACCGGGAATCGAATTGGCGACCTCTTGGTGCATGAGTCAATGCTCAACCACCGAGCCACACCGGCCGGGCTCACAAGCTCTGCTTTTATTTTTGTTTGTTTGTTTGTTTGTTTGTTTTTAATC